CTGTCCCACACTAAGTAGACATAACATCTATTAGTAATAGTGAGAGTCTATCTATAAGATAGAAGAAAACGCACTGCGTGGTGATTCTGAAGTATACTAATTACAATGAGATCAAGTAACCGTAAAAATACTGTCATCAAACGTTGGTTGAACACCTACGTCACGATTATACCTACCAGAAGCCTGATCATGACAGCAGCTTTGATCTTCTTTCATTATCTTCTTCATATTGCCAAATTCATTTAAAATACTGGATCAGTATGAATAATCTGACAATATTTGATGAAAAAATTTTGTGAAATATTACTATCTCTTATCTGATCAAGATAACATCTCTATACAAATTTAATTAATCAAATTACTATATGAAATTAATTTTTTCACTTTCAATATTTTTCAGAGATTAATGAACGAGTATTTGATAATTCAAAGAAAAATACAAAGAAGTCTGAGAAAAATCAAAATTTTGAAATTAAAGATGAAAATGAATTACTGTTGGTATCAGGACAAAAATGTATACTTAGCAAACTGAAAAAACAGTTACTTAAATATTACTATATTATAATGCAAGAAATAGATAAACTTGAAGAGGTATTTTGCCAATATTTTATCTAGTCCAAAACTTCATTCACAAACTAGTTACTATATACATTAATACTGACATAATCTGATATGATAATAATTTTAGGAGATTTTGTCAGATATTGAATTTACAAGAAGCTTCAAACTGCTAATAAAGAAATAATTAATTCACAACTTATTAGCTAAAAAGAAGATGTATCTCATATTAATTACTGAATAGCAGTATATATGTGACATGTTAATTTTCTTTTTAGACAAATACTAATAATTACTTTATTTTTTTCAGATAACATTATTGGTTGATAAAAATGCCCAGAACAAAAATATATCTATTGATTTAAAAGAACAGAAATTTTATGAAGAAGTAAAATATTAGTTTGTATATGAATATATAAAGAATAAAAATGAATGAATATTGATAGCTTTGGTACAGTGGATTACTACATAGTAGCTTCTGATTATGATTCACTTATTTTTTGTGATCTTGATTATTCTGAAATTATTAATGTTAATATTATAACTAGATCTATCAGTTTTTTTAATCATTAAAAATAGAAATTATATAATAAATTAAAAAGATCATATAATACATACTGATAAATAAAAGTAAAAATCTGTTTCTATTACTAGAGTAAAAATGATAAAGATCTGACATATTTCCATTTTTTTTACTGGATAAAAAATAGAACTATGTCAGATCTTTTAAAAAATGAATTTTTGCTAAAGTAAAACTGGGTTTCTTATATAGATCCATTTTTTATTCAGTAAAAAAATGGAAGTATATCAGATCTTTTAAAAACTGTTTTTACTAAAGTAAAATTGAATTTTTTATATAAATCCATTTTTTATCCAGTAAAAAAAATGAAAGTATGTCGAATCTTTTAAAAATCATTTTTACTTCAGCAATAAAAATGGATTTTTGCTAAAATAAAACTGAATTTTTTGTATTGATCCATTTTTTATCCAGAAAATATTTCAGATAAAAAATGGATTAATATAAAAAACCAGATTTTTGCCTAATATTTTTTTTACAGGATAATAGTGATTTATTATAAGTAATTTATCTCTCAAAATCAAAAATCAATACAAATATAACTTTATAAGTTATTAAAATTTTATTAAACAAGAGACTTCTTGAATTATTAACTATTTAATTTAAGCTAAAATATATAATATATTTATATAAATTACATATTATATAATATAATTAGTTCTATTATTATTATTATTAATTTAATTGAATATAAGTATTGTTAATATTACTAGTATTATTGATATTATTAGTATTAATACAAGTTTAAAAACCAATGATATAATTATTTAATAAAATAATAATAATTATTAAATAGAAATACTAATAAATATAATTCAATAATAATTGATATCCTTATTATCCAATTAAATTATATATTAAATATTATATCTTAATAATATATAAGAGAAATTATTTATAAAAATAGAATATATGCTAAATCTTAATAAACTGATTTATATTAAGTATATATATAATATAAATCTAATTTATAATAAAAATATCTTAAATAAAAATTAATTAAATTTATAATAATTATTATTTTTTGTCAAATACTATTATTATATAAGAAAAATATTATTATTATAGATAGTTATTGAATTTTTCAATATTATATTTATTTAACTGATCTTTTACCTTAATATATTAACTAAAGATGACATCTCAATTAATTATGACTTATAGCAGCCAATCAAAGAATTATAATAAAGTTATGATTAAGAATACTTGTCTAAATCTTTCAGAAAAATATTATCATAATTTTGACAAATTATATGTTAATTATTAATTAAAATTTTAGCATAATTTCAATTATAATAAGTTTTAAAACTTATCAAAATTTTAGTAGACTATTTATTTACTAATAGTTTATTATAATTTTAACAGAATTTTAGTGATCACTAAGAGATTTTGACAAGTAATCTTAGTTGTAGTAACCAATCAAAAAATTGTGATATAGTTATAACTAATTGTAATTTCCATTACTAGTGTTAACAAATAGCTAAATAATGATAATACATTTATTTGAAATAAATAAATAAAAAAATAGAAAAATAGAAAAATAAATAATAACAAAATAAATTAATAATATAAAAGTAAAAAAGTATAAAAATAAAGTAATACAAAATAGAAAAATAAAAATAAAAATAAAAAATAAATAAATATAATAATTAATAATATATAACATAATTTGAAAATATTCTAAATTTTTCACATAATTTTTATAATTTCATAAAATGTTACAAATTATAAAATTAATAATATTTGTATTTTCTTTAAAAAATTGAGTTCCTGCAAAATTATTAGATAAAATCTTTGATTTTACAATTTTTTATATGAAATATTTTTGTTAATATTAATTTTAGATTAAAGTTTCTTTAATCTATTTCTTTTCAAAAGAAAATATCTAGTAAATTCTTTTAGTAATTATATAATAATAATTATAAGATTAAAGCTTGAATTCTTTATTAATTTTTTTTAATTGCTAATAATTGTTTTTAATATTGTATTGAATATTATTTAATAATTGTTCAACTTTATAATATTGCTTTAATATTTTGTTATTATTTATTTGTTTTTTTAAAATTTTTTGAGTTATTTCTTTAATTGTACTAGTTATTTTTCTTTAGTCAGAATAAGGATGCTTGTCAAAATTCTTTCAAAAATATTTTGACAGAGTTTTAATGGATTATATATAGACTAATTATTAATTAGAATTTCAACAAAATTCAATTTGAACAGATTTCAAAATTTGATAGAGTTTTAGCATTCTATTTACTAATAGTTTATTATAATTTTGACAAAATTTAGATAGTTACTAAGAGATTTTAGCAAGTATTTTTAGGTCAGAGAAATTAAAATATCCTTTTCTTGATAAGTTAAATTGGTCATTGAATTCATGTTTAAGACAAAACTGAATTCAGTTTCTTCTATAATTTGTAATAAATCTATTTTGGATAGAATATTCAAGCTTATAGTTGGTGAATCCACAAAAAGATTATAGCTTTCAATTGAGTTAGAAATCAGTTCTATTAATGAGATTGGTATATTTGCTTGAGATTGTTTTGTAAAATTATATCTGTTTCTGAAATATAAATACTTTCTTGTTGTTGGTTGATGAATAATCTAGTCATGAGTTGAATAAGTAATAATTGCATACTATTATTGATCCAATTTGGTAATCAAGATATAAAATAAAAAGAAAAATGATCAGTGAAATTTTTTGAAAAAGATTCTCCAAAAAAAATATTGCATGATAACAGATCATTAAAAACTTTGAAAAGAAATAAATGGTTAGTGCAAGTTCTGATAGCGATAGATAATTTATTTCATTCATTATTCATGATTTGAGTGTATTTTGTTATTATTCACGATTTTACAAGTATTTAATGTAACAGATTTTTTGTAAACAATATTGTTATAATCGATAATATAGAATGTTAAAGAATAAAAAATACTATTAACAGTATCGTAACTATTATCATCATTTCGTTATTATTAATATAATCCATTCCTCCTAAACAGCAAACTTGAAATATCTCTCCACTTTTCCAAAAAAGCTCGGATATGTTCGTTTAATATAATCGGACATCTTTGCGAGTCCATCCATACGTCTCATCTTAAACAACGTTTTGATTTCTTCTTCGGTGGTCAACGACTGTAGTTCCAGGAACAAGTCATAATCCTCGGGTGGACAATACGGTTTGAGCAGGGATTCGACTTCCTCCTGTGGAATCGTTATTGATGACGATAGATCATCATTTTCTTTATCGATTTTTGCTAGTGGCTTGATTAGTAGTTTTTCGAGGGCGATTAATGATAGCGATGTTGTAGTTTCTTTGCTATTGTTGTTGTCTTTTTCGTTTAATGATGCGAGGGTATCCATCATTGTTATACGTGATATTTCCGAGTTTCTTTTTTCGTCCAATTGATTTCTGATCTCGATTGATGGAAAGAATGCAAGAGACTAAAAAATACGAATACAAAAAATCAGCATTCGATAACTGTATTAATAAATAATTCAAAGACATAGAAAAAAATATACCATTGGCAAATCTTCAATTCCCATCATATAACTAAACAAAGATCTCGTCCAAAAATGACTAATCTGCATTGCCAAAGCAACACGATAACATTCTTCTTGATCACAAAGAAAATGCATATTATCATACTCCATCAGCATCAACCGTGCATTAATCTGATATTTCTTAATAAGATGCTGCATCGAGACCAACAACAGATGCTGGAAATCCACAGCTGCCGATTGCACAACCCAGTTTACCGGTTTGTCGACTAATCGCAGCCCCCACGGCTTTCCAGATTTCAGTATCGGGGTTCGCGAGTCTTCCGATTTAATATCATTAGTATAACTATTGTTGTCGATATCGTCGAACCCGTTCACCGTGTAACTTTCTGATCCACCATGCCAAAAATATTGACTCTGGTTTTTGAAAAAAATGTTTCCTTCGGTCTTTTTATAAAAGTTTATTGTTTTATTGATTGTATCTAAATCATCGTCTTTAATTTTCAATTTTTCAAGCATATTATTCACAAACATAAAATTACCACCAAATGTTCTATTCCCGCCAAATATCCTCCCATAATCAATTAACCGTGCTTGATTGCGTGAAACCTTTAATTCTCGTGCAGTTCGTGAATGCATATCCGTACCTATCAATGGATCTCCATGCAAAACATGCCAGCTCATTGCAGTCGCACCATAAATTCCAAATTGCGAATCACCGATCAAACTCGCGATCCATATTTCAAGCGCCTCGATTTTCCCGCGGACAATTTTATATCCCTTTGGTGCTTTGATTTTTTTTCGGTAATCAGCTCCGACGTAATTTTCATTTAATTCTTCCGCGAGAATCCAGTCTCGATCGATAGCGCGTCGCATTAATGTACCGATTGTCAATACTTGTGGAATTATTATTCCGGTTTCGTCAGTTTGTTCTTGTTCATCTTGTTGTTTCTGCAATCCCATATTATCGGTTATTTGCGGATGATCATTATAGGCCACCATCATTGTTTTCATTCGAGGTCCTTTATTTTTCCAATACGCACAGAAAACTTGATTCAACAATTGAGTAGTCACGTCTTCATATGTTGATCTTATAGTCCCATTTTCAATTTCGCCATAGAAATATTTTAAGAAAAAAGTTTTTGATATTTGATAATAGCATCCACCAATATCTCCTGTAAAAAAATCATAATCATTATCTTCCTTAGAGAAAACACATAATGGCGTAGTATTAGCAGTCGGTATGAACTCGTCATCTTGGATGGGAACTCTATATACATACCCATATTGTTTTGAATAATAAATAGGAAAACCTTTCCATGTTAATTTCATTAACATTATTCCAATCTTGCAGTTCGGAGAGATCTTGAGTTTCTCTGTTTTGCTATCCCAGAGTTCACGATACCACGATGGACAACCTGCTTTTTTCCTTCCATTAGAAATGTTCCAGTCTAGCTGCTTTAGCCAATGATCTTTTTTCGCTATTGCCGGGTCCAATTTACATGCTTCTTCCGCAAGAACCTGCAACATATTGTCCAACAGACTTGATTTCTCTGTGTACATCTTATCTGCAGATTTAATGTATCTAACCCAATCTTCTCTAGTTGTTGATAGAAACATATTTCCCATGTGAAGCATTCCAGCGAATGATACCGGATGAGGACACACTTCCAAAAAACGCGGAAACACTTTTTGATAAACTTGATGAGTTGCTTCAACGTCTTTTGCGCAATATGTCATCAAGTTTTGAAACATTTCTGATTCCACGATTTCCTCCATTGTACCGTCCACAAAAATATTACGAGTCGATTTATCTAATTGTTTATTACAGTGATACTGGTACACTCTACTAAGGCCACTCACCAAACTTACATCGTAAACTCCATAAATGTTTTTCATATCAGTACAGTTTGCTTCCCATTTAGCTCTGGCCCAGCCGGGAACTCCATCACACACGCCATTAATTGCAATGTGCAATGCCATTGTATCCAGAAAACTGGTCCCCGATGGCTTTAAATGATATTCTTCTTTTATCCTAGCTCGATCATAACTAGTATTATGACCAACTATTATCCTCTCTCTATTTAAAGTCCCAATTGGAATAAGATATCCTTTAACAGCCGGTTCATAATTTTCGATTCCTTGTTCTCTGTACTTCTTATGTTCTATCAACCGAGGAGATACCCAAGAATACCAAGCGGTTGGCGAAGCAGCAGTGGCAAGCACAGAAAATGGACAGTCAGGAACAAGCGTTTCCACATCAAAGCATAAAATTTCTTCATTTGGAAAATCTACAGATTTCGGCAAATTTCCTTTCTCATAACGCGTCCAACCTGATTTAAAAACCCATGATCCTGGCGCCGGGATATCAGGTAACGATACACTCGCAAATCTCTGTGCTAGCTCTCGTACGGGTCTCATTTGATTTTCACCAATTCTCCAAAAATGTTCGGCAATTGTGTCGCCATTTAGAGATGGCAACTTAAATTCATTTATCACCGATAATTTCTGTGTTATTGGTTGTGGTGTCAGCGGCACCCCATACGAATCAAAGATCCCTTGCCTTTCTAAATGTTCTATTGCAATCCTTAGTGTCTTAAGTGATGGTGATGGACGATGCTTGAATACTTGTCCATGTAACCATGTTGGTAGCATTTCCACGCCAATGTGGTTTTGGTAATCTATGTTGTAGTAACAATAATATAATAAAAATTATTGCGAATATTATTTGAAATAAAAGATATCGTAAAGCGCTGACTATTATCAACAATAATACCTGCTAGCTATCTGTTTGAAAGCTAGATACCGTAAGAAATAAGGTGAGTCACGAAGCATGTATGGTTGTGTTGTAAGAGAGGAACACCGAACGGGCTAAGCTCTACTTTTACTTTAATCTGTCAAACTTACCTTTTATAATAAATATTTAATCAATATCTGAAATCTCAAAGAACAAAACTAGGTAAACAAGAAAAAAGGTAATAGTAGAAGCTACACCAAAAGATAGTCAGCGCTTTACAAATAAAAAAAGGCTTTTCGCTTAGAGCTTACTTTGCTGTCTCGATTGTAAAAATTTACGAAAAACTTGTTGCTCAAAGTAATAACGTGTAAACGAAAGTGACTTTAATGTTTTTTGATGATAACTTTTGTCATAAAGACGCGCCTTGAGCATTATTAAGTTCTCGGATATATATTTTTGACGCGTTTTTTTTCTTTCGTGCCGATTCAAAAGTTATGCAGGTGGCACGTGTACGGATCTAGCCTAAATTTTTTAGGCTTTTTGAACATCTATAAAGTTCGCACGCGCGACATAATGACATTTCCTTTTGGAACAGACCAGTCTCAAGATGCTGATACCAAAGAAAAAAACGCGAATAAACCGCAATCCTCGTCGTCTCATATTGACAGCTATATCAACGATCTCAACGAATACTTGGGTGACTTTTTACAAAATTCTCAACCTTCCTATGACCCAAACGTCGACATTATAAAAGACGAAAAGACAATTCAAAAGGAACTACTAAAGTTTAAAGAAGAACGAGAGAACTCTTTAAAAAAAGACGATAATAATGATAATAGTGACCGAGAAACCAAGAAAAACAAATACAATTTTTTTTCATTTGACCATTCGGCCAACTCGTTTAATCCTAATTCATTTGGTTCTCCAGATACAACACAAAAAAAGCTCGAAGAACAGCAAAAGCTCCAACAGCCGCAAAATGAAACAGCTATTTATGATCTTGAACAACAACAACAGCAACCAGAATTAGATGATAAAGATAAAGAGATCAGATATGCACAAGAACTTGCAGCTGGCAGAGAAATTACCGAACAAAAAAAAGCAATATCTCAAGGAGCTTTATTGAACTGTGCAGACTTGGACTGGGAACTACGAGAATGTTTCACGCGTGGGACGTTTTGGCAACGTCTTACGATGTGTCATGAGCCAAGAGAGACATTTTGGAAGTGTGTTACAAGGCAAAAGGTGTTTTTTTTGTCATTTTTAATTTGTGTTAATTATATTATTATTATTAAGAGACTTATGTAATTGAAATGGAATAATTATATAAAACATTAGGAACTTTTAAAAGAATTAAATTATTACGCACCTTCAAAATCAGATCAGGAAAATCAAGAAATACTAGATAAGGCCGACTCGATCGCTCAAGAAGAGAGGCTAAATGCGAAATAATATAAATATAAAATTATAGTTTATATGCTATTAAATAAATCACATTTCAGTCCTGTATTCGCTCTTTAAATAAATTTTATTTTGCATGGTTAATAATGTCATTTAATCAATTGACATAAAAACTTAGTGATTGATTTACAAAAATTAGATTCTTCTGGTTTTTCTAGGACGACACCCATTAAACGGAATCGGAGTAGCATCCGTAACGCGTTTAATAGTCCACCCATTTTCTGGAACAGTCAACGCCTTAAACGCGGCATCCCGTCCGGGTCCAAACCCCTTCAAAACAATCTCCACATCCGTAATCTTTATGTTTTTCTCTTTAGCTTTAGTCGCAATCGCCACAGCAGTCTGATGTGCCGCCTCGTATCCACCACGATGTGATTTCTTGAACCCGACCGTGCCACCCGATTGCCTAACTAACGGATTGTGTTTACTATCAGTCAATGTGATGATTGTGTTGTTGTAGGAGGCGGTCACGTAGATGAAGTGCATTGTTCCCGTCCGTTCTAACATATCTTTCAGGAGACGGGTTACGTCCGATTTCACTTGTCGATCGCGTTCTTGTATTACTAGTTTTGATGTTGCTGAGGAGGTTGGCGAGTTTGCGAGTGGTGATTGGAAAATTTGTTGGGAACGCTGTTGTGAGTGTGTTGATGTGTTTTTGTTGAGTGCTGATGAGAAGGCATCCATTCCTGATGTTGGTGACCGCTGCTGAAAAGATGGAGGGTTCACTAATATTGAATCAGATGATTGATTATTATTATTATTTGATTCGCCATTTTGATTATTATATTTATTTGATTTGCCATTGTTATTCTTATTGTAATCATTTGTAAATAATCCTAAAGGGTTGTTATTTTTTGGCGAGGAAGACGAATACTGCCGAGAAAAGTGTCCAATAATAAATTTGCTCTTTTCTCTCTTTAGATATCCAATTCCTATAAGATAAGAGTGCAAACTTTTATCTTGTCTTTTATTTTTGATGCAAACAAAAGCTTGTGATTGTCTGATAATAGGATTAGTAATAGAGCGAGAAGAAAATATGGTGATGGACCCGAGAGAAATCATTCTTATAAAATTTCCCGAATTTGACATCCAAAAATATGAGTCATAAATTTAAACCAAATCTTTGACTCGAAATTTAATTTTTGAAATCACGTATTTAATCGATAGCTTTGAAAGTTTTCTATCAGAGAATAATCCCCTTTTATATTATATCGAAAAATATATAAAAATAATGTTCAAAGGTACAAATTGCTAGCAAAATTTATTATTAGTTTATTTTTCAAGACTTGTAATAATAGATATTTAAATTTCTCGTTGATTTATTTATTAATTTCAAAAAACATGAATCTCGGAGCCAAAAAATGATCCACGGAAACCAATAGAAAATACTCCATTAATTAATACGCAACAAAAACTAAAAGAATAAAGTATACATATATATAAGTATTATTCATTTTGCGTAGTTTCATGCTTTATATATCATATTAATGTGAAGCTACTGTATGTAGTGTTTGCGATGATGTGTATAAAAGAAAGTAATAATAACAATAGTAGTAATAATAGTACAAAACAAATTGTCCTTTTTCTAGTAGTAAAAATTGTCTTTTGGGAAAATTGACATACATTACAACTTACAACTAAATAATAATATATATAACTAAATAAAGAAAAATCTTAAATAGCTAAGATATTTCTTTCGTTGTGTTACTAATTAAAATAAAAACGCGTTTTTTTTATTCGGTATCCCTCCGACGAGATCCTCCTCCTACTCTAGCGCCACGCATTTGTCGAGGCACCGGAGATGGAGGTGCAACTCCCAACGGAACATCATCATCTTCGTCTTCTTCATGAGATCCCGACCCATAACTTTCATAATAAGAACCTCGGCGAGAATTGGGGCCACTTCCAGTATCCAAATATTGTTGATTGCCATAGAATCTGGTCGATGATCTCGGATCCCCTCCTATTGGTGACGGGGGTCCGTATTGTCTGGCATACGCGTATTCTCTTTCACCCGCTAATAATTGTTGTCGTTGTTCCATTAATCGGCGTTCACGTTCCTTCTCAAGTGCTAGTTCTCGATCATGTTCAATCTGTCTGCCTACTTTGCGCTGTCTCTCTCGGGCAGTAATTGCACCAACTAATCCAAACTGCGGGTCTTTTTGTCGTTCCTCCAATTGAATAAGCGGTGCTCCTGTTTCTCGAGCCAAATATTGTTGATCACGTGCAGAAAGCTGCTGTGATAAGGCGCCTAATAAACTCGTTGGTCGTGGTTGGAAGTCACGTTCATCGTAATATTCTTCTTCAAAATAAGAATCACGTTGCTCGCGCATGTGTTCTGCTTGGCCACCGCTTGTACGTCTTCGTCCCGTAGAAGGATTGACAATTGATCTAGGACGTCCTCCTATTCCATTAGCGCGATCATCTTCATAAAATTCGCGAGGTGGCATTAACGAACTTCGACGATTTTCCCCAAACGCAGGAGCATATCCAACACCAACACCTCGAGGATCACCGTATTCATTTTCCCAATATTGTTTGTTATTCGGAGATACTGACCTCGGAGGCGTATTAGCATAACCCCTCGTAAAAGGAGGTATGGCTCCCTCACTAGAGTCTGTTACAAGCATGACAAGGGGTTCGTGAGATGAAGTGAGTGAAATAGATGAACTATTACTTCCTTCGCTGGAATTACGAGGTCTAGTTTTTGGTTTACCAACACTTTTTTTCTTGTCACTTCGCTTAGTAGGTTTAAAAATCCTTCGCGGTTTGTTCATCAAATCCATGTCGTCGTCTTCATTTTCCGAGTTTGAAGATTCATTTGAGGATTCTTCATTCGAGGATTCATTACTTTCAATTGATATTTGTTTTTCTTTGCTTTTTTCTTTAATATTATCTTTATCATTGAATGATGTTCCGGATACAGAGTCCAGTGTCAGAGCACCAAAGTCTATATTCAAAGCGACACTCGGCAACCCAAAACTATCGTCTCCTGGCGCATTTTGCTCTACTTTATGAGTGGCTTTTGTTTTTCCCTTAGCAACAGAAGAAACACTATCGAAGTCTTTATTAGATTCATTGTCATCACTTTCTTCAATTTCACTCTCCTGATTAAATTCTTCAGTCTCGGATGATTCCTCCAAACTATCTACAATTTCGCTCACTTTTTTCACCGGTTTCTTACCCTTCGATCTTGACGTTGTTTCTTGGGGTGGTTTATAAGCTGGAGCCACCTGCTGATGACTGCGTACAGATGCACGTCCTAGTGGGACATGGTCATCCCTTACATTAGGGACTGAATATTCATCTTTGGAACGTCCACGAGCTACTGGTTGAAAAGACGGTGATGGAGGATGATGATAATTTCGATCAGGTGAATATGGATAGCTTGGACTTTTAGGCGAATATTGAGGTGAGCGATCCGCGTACGGAGCTTTTGGTGACATGTAACCATATGAAGAATTTTGTCGATAATCACCAGAGTATGGTCGAACTTCTTCATAATCTTGACGTGGATTTAATTCGCGCGGCCTAGGTCGTGACGACGACAATTGAGGTTGCACTATTTTTAGTGTTGTTTCTTCATCATCTTCGCTATCAGATGGTTTAGGTGCTACCTTGAATTTTTTCTTTTTTTTACCTTTGCCAACATTTTTGGTTGATGTTGGCAAATTAGAACCGGAATTGGAAGAAGTTGAATATAATGTGCTCGATTTTATCTTGTTTATCTTTGAGGATTTAGCTACATCGAAAATTTCTTCTTGCTCTTCCTTTTGTTCATCCTGACTTTCTTCACTATTTGTTATGTTTTCATCCACATCGTCATCATCTTCCTCCTCTTCACTATCTGATGGAAGAGGTGATACTCGTATTTTAGATTTATGTTTTGGTTTAGGCGGCGGGTTTTTAAATGACACAGTTCTTTTAGGTTTTGGTTTCTTTGATGATGATTGTGCAGGTTTTTCCTCTTTATGTTCGTCAATTGCAGTTAATATCTCTGACATAAGATCACCACCCGAATTTTCAATGGAAGTATCATCTAATTGAAGAGGTTCATCCACTAAAGGAGTTTCATTATTTTCCTCTTCTAGTGAATCCAGCTTTATGTCATCACTTATGCTGGTTTTGGCATTCGCTTGTGTATTTTTTAGTAATGTAGGATCATCGACTTCCGAATCCGTTTCTGATTCTATTTCAGCATTATTATTAAATTCTTCCTCTTCCTCCTCAAAATCATCTTCCTCACTGCTAGGCACTTGCTTGTGACGCCCACTTTTCTCTTTTCCCGACTTCTGTGCAGTAGCAAAGAGTCGACTTGACGACACAACAGGTCGTTCTGGGACTCTTCTCTCACTGCTTAAAGATGATGTGCTCGGCGAAGATGGAATATCTCTAAATAAATTAAATTTAGACGATATGGGCGAATTTGTCGATCCCAATCCTTTACCTTGAGAATGTACAGACGATCGAGATGATGATTGCTGTCCCGATCTTGTCGATGATGACGATCCTGGACTCGGTATAGAAGACCCTGATTCGTTAAAAAATGCTTTTTGACGCGAAGAACTATCAGAAAGCCCGTTCGTGACAATTTGCGGTGGTATTGAACCACTTGATTTTCGTGAGCTCCGAGCAGTAGGTTGATGTGACGCATGATCGAATTCATTTTCGGCATTTACTTCTTGAGGATGTTCAAGATATAATTTCCTAAGAATTTCAGCAAATTCTGCTTTTAAATCCGCCAGCGATTGTTGCATATCAACATGTTCAACTTCAGAAACATCTAAAAATAATTTAGTGGTACTTTTCACAATTGGCACAGCAAAAAGCGGCGAATCTGGATCCTTGAAATCATACAAATATTCCTTTGGTCGACCATACAATTTAAAACTATCACAAAAAGCAATCAACCATTTCGCCATCTCACTCGAATTTTCCGCCGTCAAGAGAACAAAATCGCTAGGCTTCGAATCAGCCGTTGATGCTTTTGTCGCGAAAATATTTCCCTCGACACGGAACAACGTTGTCTTCTCTATCGTCGACGCAGTTTCTTGGTATATAGCATAGGCTTGCAGGACATTAGCCATTGTCATGAAAGGCTTTTTTGACTTTTTTGTTTTGTAGAAAGTCGCTTGCCCTCTATCAAATGCTAAGTCTTTTTTCTTTTTTTCTTCTACGCGATGATCAGATACGACGACCCAACATTTTTGCCATTCTTTGGTTCCTGCAAATCGCACTTGAAGATACCCCTCTACTTTACCTTTTATTAATGGGGTTCCTGATAATAATTCTTTGAATCCAGATCGCCTGAACAACGTCGCTGTGAAAACTTCATGCAGTCTAGATCCTTCGAAACATGACAAGCGAATTGCAAGCACCCATCGATTAAGTAAAAGCCAACTTGAGGTCTGAAGGTAATACAGATCACCCTCGCCACCATCGAGCGAAAATACATAATCACGAGAAAGTATGCTGTCTGATACTTTTCCCACTATTTCCACACTAGAATTTGCTATATTGATGGTTGTAGGATTTGGACTAGTTATCTCTGCCGACTCAATATCATCAGATACCCTCCATAAACAGAGCGAGGACCCACATATTTCTGCGTAAAACTCACCCCAGTCTTCAGTTGTGGGTTTACGTCCGTCTCGCCAACTTTGGTCTTGCTTACATAAATAACCTTCAATATAGGTTTTCCGTGAAAAAACATCAATAAGATGGAGAACAGGACGCATTTCAGAAGATATTTGGTCAGCCTGGCCAGATAGTCGTCGACGTGCTTTCTTTACTATGGCAGCAGGACGTTGAGTCGACTCTCTAGGCCCAATCTTTAGAAACCCATCGGAACCAGCAGAGTTTAACCTGGATTTATGGGTAGGAGTAAAAACTGCAGATTCTGTTGTGATTGTATATGTGTTACCGTCAACATTTTCTCTATCGTAATATGCAATTGTTTCCTCGTTCTGAATCTGACTGCTTGTTGAAGATGTAGAAGTTCGAGATGATGGCAGTATTTGTTCTGCCATTATTTCGTTCTTAATTTTGTACAAAAACTAGAAACAAACACGCGGCTGGCAGACTATGTATACACCTTGACGTGTTTTTTTGAAGTAGAAGTAACATCCACTTTAAGTGAATATTTTTCTTGAGGCAAAGATAAACTTTATGTTTACTAAATTTAAATATATATATAAATAAATTATTTTTTCATTTTCTAAAGAGAACTATAAAAAGAGTTTGATGAATTGAATGATAACCAAACTTGATGAGCGATCGGTACAAAAATAAATATTTATCTTTCGTGAAAATATACATTATTAATGTTTAACATAGAACGTGGATTTACACGAACCTTTTTTAAAATAAGGTGTGAACTATAAAAAATGCGAAAATGCGGGGAAAAAGCACTATTTTTATAAGTTTATTAAATTGATAAATTCGGTGTTATTTCTTTTGTTTTATATTGATTCAGAATGGTTAATCTAAAATAAATAGTTAAAATTACGTCACGCTTCGCGATAAACTTTAATGCCAAGCAACATCTTATGCTATATAAATTTTATTTCCTATGTTTTGCCTTTCCTCCGACTTCTTGCCCGAATCTATATTAGCTTTAGACAAATCTCTTTTACTAATCCCAGATTTTTTATTAGCAAAACTTTTATTATTGCAAAGGTGAATAAAATCTAAAGTCATCAAACATTTGTATTTTATAAAATGTATAAACAGTGGTATAATTATAGTCTATATAGACTATAATTATACCACATAATTCGGACTATAACTACCCCAAGAATGACGTGTGGATTGTAAAACTCAAGTCATTCGAGTGATGGGTGAATCACAAAGCTCAAGTCACTTGACTGATAATATATCCTTAAGTATGATGTGTGAATCACAAAACTTAAGTCATTTGAGTGATGGGTAGCTATGCCTGAATCTGACATGTAGTGCTCTAGCTTTCTGATTAATTTCTCTATGAGAGCCAGGTTTGAGGCACATAGTGCTGAAATAGTATTTGTGATCTGGCTTTGTGTAATGTGTTCAAATACTGATTAAGGATGAGACACATAGTGCTGAATTGTTATTTATTATAATTCACTCAAATATCATCTGAGAATGAGGCATATAATGCCAAATTGTTATCTCTACTTGGTAAACATTCAAAGCATAAGTTTTATAATATATATCCTTTTGTAATAATTATATTTTGGATTATTATTGACTTTTAATATTGAATATTCCATATTTGATAAATATCCAAAGTACAATTTTTATAATATATATCTTTTTGTAATAATTATACTTTGAGTTACTATTAAATACTAATCATATTTTGTGATCTTTGAACCATTTCTTATATAATTGATATCTTTATGTCTCAATATATCTTTGAATATTATTATATTAAAATACTTTGAAATATTATCAAATTAAAATACTTTGGAATACTATTACTTCACATTAGTAGAACTAGTAAAGCTAAAAAATCTTTATGTTTTGATATACCTTTAAATACTATTATATTAAAATATTTTGGAATACTATAGATTCATATTATATTAAAATACTTTAAAATACTATTAAATTAAAATACTTTGAAATACTATCATTTCAGATTTAATTTTGACAAGTTAATTTTGGCAAATCATTTAATTAAATAATGTTATTTTAGTAATCATTGTTACGACTAGAAATTTATATAATTTCTATAGTTTTCATAATTTCTATAATTTTCATGATTTTGATAATAACACAATTATAGTAATTACCATCATTTACAACAATTACCGTAATTATCATCATTTACAATAATTATCATAATTACCATCATTTACATAGTATTTATTATTTATTAACTTATATAATTAATCATAAATGTAACATTCATTAGTGAAAAATATTATTATAAATAAAGTGCAATTGAAGCTTTGAAAAAGATATCAATTGATCAATACAAAAATCTAGCTAGTCAATAATTATTCTTTGTTTATTATTAATGAAATTTGTACACTTAATTGATTTAAAAAAAATAACTTATTAAAATACTTGCATTTATTATGCACTATTGGATGACTGTCAAGTTGCTATAGAATATTAGTACTGTATTACTATAGAACTGTCTCACACTAAGTAGATATAACATCTATTAGTAATAGTGAGTGTCTATCTACAAGATAAAAGTAAACACATTGCGTGATGATCCTGAAATATACTTTTACGATGAGATCGAGTAACCGTAAAATTACTATTATTAGATATTGATTGAACATCTACGTCACAATAACACCAATCAGGAGCCTGATTGTAATACCATTCTTAAAGACTACTACAAATAAAATATTACACATCCTTAGCAAATATAGTAAAATAGAAGAAAAATATAAATATAATCAATTATTTCTCACTTCTATTCAAAATAAATAATGATAATTTTTATTGAATAATAGTTATTGCAAGATTTATCTTCTCAAAATTAGCAATTTCAATACTATTACATGCATATTGTATCTCCACATTAGCAATTTGTGATATTTACCTAGATTTGTATTCAGTAAAAATTATTTGTAATGAAAAACAAATAAAACTTCATATAGATAAATATATAATAAGATCTCATTAGTAATTAATTTAATTTTTTATTTTTATTTTTAATAATTTTATTTTATTATAGCATGATTTTTCAAATAGTGTCTTATTAATAATAATAATGAATTCAATATATTGCTACAGTAGTAATATTATTACTGTTTTTATATTGATAGATAAAATATTAACTAATTATAATAATTAATTAAGAATTATATAAGAGTAATAATAGTGATTATATATACTTGAGAGAGTTGGATACTAGATAGTTGGGAGAGAATAGTAGATTCTAATACTTTTACTAGTTGAACAAGTATTTTATAATTTAAAAATGTGAATAATTTATTGAAATACAAAAGATGACTTTTATTAATTGAATAAGTCAAAGTTAAGTAAATAATAAATTAAAGATAATAATAAACAAAAGATTATTTAGAAGTATTAATTAATTTCTATACTTTTATTACTTTTAAAATTACTATTAAAATTCTTGTTATTTTATGTTAAATTATATCTATTTAAATATATATAAATATAATACAGATCTACATGATGAGTGATACTACTTGAAAATAATTATAAGATTAATTTGAAAAAAGTATAATACCAAGAAATGATAAGTGTAATACTAATTTAATCTAAGCGATACAATTTAAATTAGAGTGATATTAGTGTTACATTAATTAATGTTAAATGAAATTAATTTAAAATAGAATAAATTTAAATCCAATAATGTTATAATAAAATAAATAATGTAATTTTAAAAAGAATTAATTGATATTTTTGATAAATTATATGTAAATTAAATAATTAAAAATAAAATTATAAATAGAAAAAAATATAAAAAAAATATAAATAATTATCAAAATTATGTTAGATAATATTTTATATGTGATCCAAAATATCAAATGGTAACAATATAAAATTACAAATTTAAAAATAATCAAAAAATATAAAACTTCTAAAAATAATTATAATAGTAATATTCTTTTATATAATATTTCACTTTTTATTTTTCATTTTTATATATATTATTTTATTTTTATTATTTTATTTTTTATTTTCACTTTTATTATTTCATTTTATGATATTTATTTTTATTTTTTACTTTTATATATATTATTTTACTTTTTATTATTTTACTTTTTATTTTTCACTTTTATTATTTCACTTTTATTTTTCACTTTTATATATAGTATTTCACTTTTTATTAATTTATTTTTTATTTTTCACTTTTATTATTTTACTTTTATAATATTTCACTTTTTATTTTTTACTTTTATTATTTCACTTTTTTGATATTTCACTTTTATAAGTTATTTAACTTTTATAATTAGTTATTTTACTTTTTATATATTTTTATAATTACTTATTTTACTTTTTGTAAATTCAAAAAATATATAAATAGAGATGCTGTTTGAATCTTAACTTAACATTTTATAACTAAAAATAAAAATCTTTCTTAACAAAAATCTTCTTCCAAAATACTTCTTGCCTCTCATATTTTCTTTATATATTTCAAATCTTGTATATAAATAATCTTATATCATATTGAACCTATCAAATCGTTAACAGTTTTATATTAAGCAAATCATTGTTATTAATTTTGGAATTTAGATCATATTGTACTGAACAAATTATTATTATTGGATTATTAAGCTTTATATCATATTGTGTTAAACAAATTGCTATATTGTTATGATTTAGATTTTCACTAAATCATAAAGTCATGTGCTGTTAAAATCTTATATTCTTATTGGTTATATTTTA